AGCTCCCTGAGTGGCCGTTCAGCTGCCCACTACCCTCACGATATGTTTTGGGCTTGTTCGCTAGCAGAACGAGAAACTGACTGGAAGGCGTAGATCCTTGCACGCGACCGACTGTTTTTTGCTGCGGCGCGGCGACACCGTGCGCTGGATTGCTCATGGCATTCGGCGCCGAGCTGCTGCTTCCTTGCTTGAACTCGTTGTTACTCATTTTCCTTCGCCAGTATTCTTGGGTTAGTGTCCTAAAAGCGAACTTTATTCACACAAAACCAGGAATTGACACGTCCCACCACGGGCCAACACCCCTCTCCATGTTCCAGAGGCCAGCAGCAATCACTGGGCAGTATGCGAGCTGCTCGCGAGCAAACCCAAAGTGCATCATCCTAGAACCCACGAGAAGTCAGCCGGCCACAATGGACACAACTGTTGCCAGCGCAAAGCTCGTTGCTGGGCACAGCGCTGTGGGACCAAGCGTCAGGGTTTCGCTCTCGGCACGGAGCCACTGCCTTCCGATCGAGGCTTGGTGCAGCAAACCCAGCAGGCACCCGGTTGCTGAACATGCACTGTTCGAATTCATGAAGAATAAAAGTTGCATAATTCCACTCTGCAACCGCACATTAACAGCTGCTTCCGGTTATCCTTACAACAGGGCGTCCAGCTGAGAACTTTTCCCCTGTCAACGACCGGAAGCAAAGAACACGTCCTAGTGGAGTATCTGAGGCAAAAGCATTGCAAGATGAACGCGTTCGGGATCTCTGATCCACCAGTTCCGCTTCACTGATGCAAATGCGGATGAAAATTTACTGATTCATACATGGCAATTCATCAAACAATCCGCTCAACGAGTGCAGCTGCTTCCCGACAGCCTCAAAGTGCCTGGACTCAAACGCTAGTCTTAACAAGTACGTCCGGAGAGGAAAAAAGCTGAGAGTTCTTTGTTGGGACTCGAATGCACTGGAACCAAACATGCGTATACTCAAAACCGGCGGCTACCGAAGTTTTAACTGATGCACGCAAAAGCCGCAAAACAAATTTTACTTGTCACAGATGAGGTAAGCACGGCAAACAACATAGTCTCGCTCCGCCCTAAGGAATCGTCCGAATGGAAAAACGAGGCAACGAGGGGCAATCCCGTGAAGAAGCAAGAGATATGGGGTCAGTGAGGCGGCGAGTAACTCACCGGTACGCAACACCGCTCCAGCACCATTTAGCAAATAAAAAGCACCATAAAAGTTTGTTGACGCGCAGAAACTGCACAAGAAAGAAGCAAAAAAGAGCAGTAGAGTTAGCGAAGAAATACTCGAAAGAGTTCTGCTCGAAAAACGAAGTGTGACGAGAAAATGACAGGTGAACGACTCCGCTGCGCAAACAGCCGCCCGCCAGACGACCGCTTAGGAAGTGATGCGCATAGGAACGAAAGCAGCCTACTTTATACCAGAGGAAGGAGAGCACTGAGTGTTGGCAAGCTAGGCCAAGGCTGGTCACGTGCGGCCAATAAGCAGTGTGAGGCAGAAGGATGCGAAATTTTCCAACCTAGAAAAGCAAAATCGAAGCACTGCGGGCCGGAACCGAATCGAAAAGCACCAGACCCACACAAAAACAAATTTCTTTTCCCTCTTCCACATGCCACGCTGCAAACATTTAATAGCAACATCAAAGGGGGAGCGCACTGGTCAAGAAGTGCCATCTCAGGCAGGCACTGCGTTACCGGCCAACAAAATGCCATTTGGACAAGGTATGGAGACAACAGTTCGAGATGCCCGCCAGATGACGCGCTGCGCCCCTTCCTCTCTCGTAAACGACAGCTGGCACAAAAATGGTGAAAGCAGAACTTCAATGTCACAACACAGACCGTTTCCGGGGATGCATCGTACAACCTCGGACAATATTCGCCGGTGGTTATGAGCTGCACGATAACAAACTGAATGAAATCGACCGCACAGCACCCGCGCTCACTGGCGCGTACCGGGGTATCTCGAATATGCAAATTTTGTCCCGATTATGTGAATTTTTGGAGCTGTGGTTTTGAACAGAGCAAGTATCAGGCGCCAGAAAATGGCCATCCATTAGATGACCTCCGAAGATAGCGCAAACGTCCCTTGTTAGAGCGTTAGGGCACAAACCAGAGGCGCAACACAAAGGGGTTCCAGCACGCTAACAGCACATCAGCCAAGGAAACAACACAAAAACAGCAAGAATATCGAATGTATCAATACTGTTGTTCTTGGCAAAACACCGTTAGAACCCCTTCGGAGTACATCCTTCTCTCTAATGAGACCTAGGCAATCCGAAAAGAACCAGATCGCAGCACTTCACCACCGTCCGCCTGCGGGACTATCAGCATTCCCAACTTCTGAGGTTTGCACTGAGACGCTAAACAAGCCCATACTAAAATGAATCAGTGGTCTGTGAAGTGGTCAGCTTCCCAGCATCCACATCCAAGCAAGGAGAGTAAGTACCGGTGTCCAACATATATCACAGGGAAAGTTGCCTGCTAAATTCAACATTGTGCGTCAATTTTAAGTTCCTGCATTTACTGAATCCACTTTCCTAGTTTCCTTGATGTGTTTTTGACGTATTTATAATCGAGGAAATGTAGAAATCACAGAAAAATCACATCAATTATGCACCGAAGTTTCTTCAAGCAGCACCTTCTCTGTCTCATTGTCGTGTTCCTTCTGGCCAGCTCTACAACTCAACTATATACACAAGGGGGACAAACGACCCGGAGGCAGGTTACTTTTTTGAAAGAGCTCTTAGGGCATTTGTCAGAGTACTGCTGAAGTTGATGGCCGAGCTCGACTTCGAAAACGATAAGCTCCTCGTCTGTGTGTTGCTGTTGCTGGTGTCAAAACAGTGTCGTCCACCTGCGTCCATTTCATGCGCAGCCACTATCAATTCGCCAACATCCGTTTCACCGTAGTTCTGAAAAGTGCTCTCGTTTAGCTAATTAACAACATTTGGCTTTATGGAGTAAAACAAAATGAAGTGTATTTAAAATTAAAATATTATTTGTTAACGGCCTTGCTATGAGAACAAATGGTTCCCAGTCGATTCGTGAAAACGAAAAAACTGATCGACGTCGGTTTTCATAGTAAACTGGTTAATATGCAGAGGGATCAAATCATCTTCTGCTTTTCTAAAGGACGGGAATACCGGAGGCCTAGCCTATACGCGGCTGTTGTTGTAAAGTGCCAGCATAAGCGCCATTTCTGAGCGCCTTTGTCTCTACGACTAAGACACAATGAAATACAGCGGCCTGGACAGGCAGCAGTATGGCGAGGCGAAAAACAGAAACGATGAAAAGGTTAGAATAAAAACGACCGTCGAAAAAGCTTTGGATAAGGTGACGCGATTATGCTCTGGAGGTGGTGCATACAAACTGCAGACATGCAACTCTCCAAAACACAGAGTCCTGGCATAACTGTGCATGACTTTAGTGAAACTGGAGCTGTACGCCGACAGTCCGTGAAGTCTCACCGATCCTATCAAGTCTAACGTAGGACGACTGAATAAAAAAAAGTGCAAGTTCACCCCTTCCCTAGCAACCTAGGGGAGGGGGAGGGGGGGTGAACTTGCACATCCTTTTCTAACTCGACGAGCTGTTGTGTGTGATTTACTATGTATCTCAAATTACTGCGCTAAAAAGAACACCGCGGCACAGAAACTGCATAGAACAGCCATGTCATTAGTGAATGGATCCATCAACTGGTTCATTCAGATTATTCACCAGACGGCTCAGTAACCAAAATCCAAAATCAAACTGCCCTCATGGTCAAAAAAAGGCCTCAATTCATATTCAAACCCATACGCAAAGCACATTCTCAAAGTCTACGCGTCTCTAATTTCTCCCTTTTTATCAGAACTGCAATTTTGCCCTTGAAGAATTTAGTGTTCTGCGTATCACGTTTCAACTGATCCTACCTCCGCGCACTTGGTATCCACAAAGTTGAGCTGTGCACTAGCACATTTCTATCCTGTGCAATGAGCTTGACACTCTCTGGTTGGAGTAGGGAAGAGATAAGTCATCAGTCTTACTGTTTATGAATCCACCCGATGCAAATCAAACGAGAAAATACTAAAGATACTAGTGATATAAAAGAATTCGTGTTTGGAACGCGGAAGAGTGTAGCCGAAGGAGCAAAGAAAACAGTTGCCACATTACCTGCAGCATTTTCAGACATTTGCAAAAATCTCCTTCAACTAGCTGATCCCGAATCTTTTCCATCATTGCTAAGCAGATCCAATGAAGAAAACGTTGGCGATTAAACGATGAAAACAACGAGTCCCAAATTGTTATCACATCTGCAATGTGTTTTTTTTTTTTTTTTCTTACAATGCTTTCAAGGCTAATGGGCTTCAAATACATTTGTGAGTGCCTTTTACTCATCTGTTCACGTGGCTAACTCAAATTTGCTAGTGGGAAGACTTAGGTGGCTCACTGCTACACAAACACTACTTGAATGCCCAATATGCTCAAATCCCCAGCAATCTTTGAAAGAGTAAACCACAGAAAGCCTTGCTGTCGGCAAAATGTTAGCAATCCAGCCACTTTCCAATGTGCCTGTTACATACAGGAAGGGGACTTGTCTCCGATGCAAGGAAGTCATATCAGAAAAGAATGTTTACCTGGAAGAGAAAACTCCTGAGAGAGAAGCAACGACAGCCAACGGAAGGCATAAAACTGAGGCTTTATACCTATATCTGTGAGATGTCTGTACAGTTCGAAGTCGAAATCACGCAACCGCTCATCAAACACTGCCAGAAGCCATTCTGTAAATAGAGCACTGACTTTGTTCACAAATATGAATCAGTTAACCCACCACAACAGCACCAGAAAGTGATGAATAACATCAGCTGGCCCATAAAACGAAGAAACCGCGACCTTGGCTACTAATACAACTTCCATCATTACTAACTTCCCAGAACAAGTCAGAAGGAACGATTCATTTGGCACAAACGTGCGAGAGGCCATAAAATATGAAGTGAAAAGTACCACAGACGGAAATGAAAAAAAAGAGCAGGATGTGGCGGAAAGAAGCCCAGAGTAGAGGATGGTCAGCGGAGATGCAAGGAAAAATGTTAGGAAGTATATTCACTTCAGAGCAGTTGGGAACGTCGAATTCCAGAGATGCAAAACCTAACCGGAAGGAAAAAAAAAACTCAGCTGCAAGTCTAGTCAGAACGTCATGAAAATCGGCTGAAAAGCGCCAGCAAAAGCAGTAGTCAAGTCCGAAAAAGCAGAACTGCACACTAAACACTGAGAAATGCGAAATTTAAGAGGTGATAAAATAGAAAGGAGACGCCATATATGACAAAGGTCATCATCCTTAAAGACCCGCTTTAAGCCTCGGGAAACAAAATAAGAGCGCACGTTTAGCCCCTTCCACCTACCCTGCACAGAATTTGAAATCATTTCTTTTTGTACTGGGAGCATCTATTAATGACCACATAAAAAAACAGGCACTTCGTCATATGAACGTCATGCAGAATATCGCTATATCCATGAAAGGGAAACTCGCAAAACGACACACACACAATAAGGTCACTTTCATAACACCGGTGAACGTTGTGTCAATACAGAAAGCGGTCATCCGAACAACCAGCCATAAGAAGCTGGCATATGGTCGTCACAGGAGACCGAGATCTGACACAGGCAATGGTAATAAAGGGTAATAAAGAAAAGTAGCTTTTACTAAAGTGTCAACATTCTAGGTGCTAACGTACTGAAGAAAAACAACACCAACCTATGCCACAGTTGGAATTATCAAGCGTTTTGATGAAATTATCTTTGATTTCGCTCATTAACAACTGAAAACAATAGTATGTGTCGGCTTCAGCAGATTCTGCCCACTCACCATCTGTGTCACTGGCAAAAACATAGTATAACGGGCCCACAATTTCGTTCATTCCCTAAACATCTGGAATGAAGAGCCCGCAAGACTTTAGCACAGACATAGAGAAGATGCCAATGCTCCCTCTTCATTTGTGTAGAAATCAAAAAAACCATTTTTTTTCTTTTGCGACGGAGGCAGCAAACAAAACCTCTCATAATTTCATGCTTTTGTATTTCCTCAGAAGAGCTCCCCCATTTCGCCAACCAATTTGTGTATCTTTTAACCTCGGAAAATATGCTGTATACGCACTGGCTGCACGTCATTTAACAGTGAAAAGAATGACCTGGACGTATTTGATTCCAGGATTCAGCTTGCTGTATATAAATAACACTCTTTCAACCACCTGCCAGTGGTACTCAATATGCCCATCTACAACATTCGAATATTCCTTGTCAGCTTTTTTGATCGGCTGGGCGATGAACTAAAAAAGGAACTTATAATAGCTGCCTTTTTAACGCATAGTTTCTTCGGGATAACTATGCTTGTCGTTACCCAGACTGAATCATCTGCAGACAGCCTTTGCTCACATGGTAACATTACTAAAAGAAAAGATGCAAGAAAAAAGCAACACAGTGTCACGGATAATTTAGCAAGGTCTTACATTTCCTGGAGTAAAATGGCTGCTTGATGGTATTTCAGAACGAAGACTTTCTTGACAAATACGGCGCGATAAATTGATCTGGGCGGCTGACCTTGAAAAAAAAAAAAAAACTTGAAAACTTTAGCGCATGCTCATTTTCAAATGACAGTGAGAAAAACGAAGATGATTAAAACACATACAGTCAATTCCCAGAATACCAAACGAGTAACGCTCTGCATGATGTAGAACTCTGAACTAAACAATAAACAGTCCACAAAATCAATCTGCAGGGCTATAAATTAAGGCTTTTTCCCAAATCCGGCTGGTGCA